GTGGTTTTGAAAGCTTTTTTCCTTTGTTATTCTGTTTTGTGTTCGTTTGAATTTTTCTTTTGGCCAGTTTATTTGCTTTTTAAAGAGACAGAAATTTCTTGGTGTTGGCTGGATGTGAGTGTATGAATGATCTTGAGGAAGTGGACTGAGAAAGCCATGATCACAATATACATATAAAAATATTTTTTCAATGAAAAAGAAGGCTCTCAATACATTTCCTAAGAAATTAAATTTGGTGGTCAGAGAAAGTGTGAGGTGTAGGTGACCAGTGGGTCAGAGTGTGCCAACCCTAGCTATCACATGTCACTATTAATGCCCAATGTGTTAGAGCAGGGGGAAGAAAATTCTTCATTGTTTATGTTATGATGAGTAGAGTCCAATAGCAAGCCAAGAGCTCTCTTTCAAATGGAGAATACATTGTTTGTAAGCGATGGTAGGGTTTTGCTCTAAAATCCTGAAGGTCTATTCTGTAATTCACCCTGATAGGGTTATTTTGTAATTCATCAGGGACTCAAGTTATCATGTAGCAAAAGGTTGAGATCCAAGTGTTGTAAAATGCTTCCTGTTAGACATCAACGTGGTTGAATGGTTCAGTATGAGTATATTCAGATATTCATTGTTTGACATTGTAAAGAGGTATCCATAAAAACACAAATATTTTTAAAGATGAAGTTCACTGTGTAGAATATTAGCTATTCAGAAGAATGTTTTGTATACCTTTTGCAAGGATGTGCATGCTACTTTTCTTAGGTACCATGTCATACATGCATTTCACAAATTCAATTACTTATATTCATTGGTGATGTGAAGTGTGTCAGTTAGATTTTATGTTCTGGAGAAATAATATAACCTTATAAATTAAGACAATATGTCTAATATATCAATCAAGTATAATGTTGCTGTGTTACTTTTCTATCCGATAAACCCACATTTAATAGAAGACTTCATGGTTAATATACTTAAGTGTATTTTTCCTTTACTTCTATAAATATGTTTTTATATTAAATTTATTACACAGAGACCTATTTGTTAGATGTATTTAATGAATTTACTTTATATTTCACAATCTCTTATATTTTCCTTTAATATTTTTTAATTTAATTTTTATTTTGTCTGATGGGAATAACCATTTTTCTGTCTTTTAGTTCCCATCACGATGAACTGTCTTTTTCATTCCTCTGCTACAGTCTTAATGGAGATCCTACCTAACATTTATTTGATGTTTCCACATCACCTTTATGATAGTAAGGACAATGGAGTTTTCTGGGAGATTGGATTAGATGGTTTTTTTCTTCACTAATGGAGTTAGTTCCAATACAAGCAAAGCACACAGTATTTCTTTGTCATGATTCTACCATGTGGCAGCACACAGAAAAGAGAAGGCAAACATTGGTAAGACACCTAGTCTTATGTCTTTATCTGTTGTCGATCTTCCTTAAGTGGTTCTCAAACTATGGGTTGTGTTGTCATTAGGGATCAAACAATAATTTCATAGATGATGCATATCAGATAACCTGAATATCATATATATATATATATATATATATATATAGTATATATGTGTGTGTGTGTGTGTGTGTGTGTGTGTATATATATATATATATATATATATATATTACTACTAATTATAGTACCAAAATTAGAGGAAGGAGTTTTTTGTTGTATCTGGTGTCCTTCGCCACCAAAAAGAAGTAAAATGTTTAGTGGGCCTATTTTGATTCTAGAGAAAACACATTCCTCACTTAGGTATACTACTCTGATACATATACTAATTGACTGGTAGATTTTGGTCAGGCCTAAAACGGGATAAATCTCTTCCAAAGGTCTAGGCAGATGTGAAGACTGATCTACTACTTGTACCATATGATCCAGAAGACTTGTTAGTACTTGAGGTGTCAATGGCAGATAAGAATGCTCCTTGGAGCCTGCCACAGGCACCTATAGGTAAATTACAAAATAGACCTTCGGGATTTTGGAGCAAAATCCTACCACCACTTACAAATAATCTATTCTCCATTTGAAAGAGAGCACTTGGCTTGCTATTGGACGCTACTCATCATGCAACATGAGCAGCCCATAATGACACAAGTGTTATCAGATCAGAAAGTAGGTTGTACATGGCAGCAATTTATTACGAAGTGAGAGATGTATACATGATTGGTTCTGAAGAGCTCCTGAAGGCTGGAACAAGTATATTACATGAAGAAGTTGGCCAAATGATTTTTACTCTGTTAAAATAATGTCAGCAGAAAAGCGTGTACCTAGAGCCTCCTGGTGTGCTGCTTATGATTGATTTGACTGAGAAGGAGAAGACTTAGGCCTGGTTTGCTGTTATTTCTGCATGTTTTACAAGCACCACCCAGAAGTGGACAGGTACACTGTTACAAACCCTTCTAGCAATGCCAAAAGTAATGGGTTAGGGGAAATCTTCACAGAGGCCAAGACTTCAGACAGTCTACATGGTCATATAATTTCTTTGAAAAGAGAAATGGCTAGATGTGCAGTGGTTCACTAAACCATGAGTTGTAGCTAATTTATTGGTTGGATGAGGCTTGAGGAAGATCATGATTGGAAAATTGATGGTAAAGACATCTGAGTAAGAAGCTATATGTAGATAGATCTCTCTAAATTTTCAGAAGTTGTGAAGAAACTTGTGTCCCTTGGAAATATTCATCAATAGGTGACTTTTGCTGAAGTGGCATTCAGTTATCAAGTAGTCTTAATGCCGCTCTGTGGAAAGTTAGCTTTTATTTTTTCACAGACATCTCAGTCATTGCTCAATGTGTTCATTAACAAAATTAAGATGGTGACTGAATGAGGTATACCTATGGGCTTGACAACATGGACTTCTACTGACCAAGCCTGACATGGCTACAACTGTATTCTGAGGTCAAATCTCTCTACAACATAGATCAGTACTGAGCTCCTGATTTGGCCCCATTCCTGGTGGAAACTAGATAGCAACCTCGTGACAGGTTGACTGATATTGGACCATTTCTACTATGGGAAGTTTACCTTATTGTCCTTCTGGTGTAAATACTTATTTTGGTTATAGATTTGCCTCTCCTGTAAGCATTACCTCTGGCAAAACAACCATCTATGAAGTTAAAGAATGCCTTATTCACTATCATGGTATTCTACACTGTATTGCACCCGGCCAAGGCCAATAATCATTGTATCAAATGGTCTTATCTTGTTCCCCATTATTCTGCACTAACTAATCTAATGGAGAGATAAGGCCTTATGTAGACATAGCTACAGTGTAAAATTTTATGGCAACAGCAGGGAGAGCTGTGGCAGTGTTATCCATTGGGCAGATTATATTTTGAATATTCACTAAGATATGATATGGTATCTCTTGTAGCCAAGATCCATGGGTCAAAGATCAAGAGATACAAAACAGAAACTCACTATCACCCTTAGTGATGGTCTAGGAAAAATTGCTTCCTCTTCTAGAGACCATAAGTTCTGCTATCCTAGAAGTTTTGTATGCAGGGTATTGAATATTCCTATAATGATCCACAAAAAAATATTCTAATGGCCTAGTAGTTCAGTATTCCATATGGCCACTCTGGGCTTCTAATGGCCTTTAACAAATAGGGTGAGGAGGAAGGAACAGTTGTAAGTGTGTTGATAAATCCAAATTTCCATGGTAAAATTGGACTGCAACTCCAAAATGGAGGTAAGAAAATTAAATCTTGTATGCATAGAATATTCTTGGATGTCTTTTGATGCTAATATTGTCCTGTGATGAAGGTCAATGGGAATTTACCACGGTCTAATCCAGGGAACATGACAAAGAGCACAGACCTTTCAGGAATTAATATAGGAGTCATTCCTCTAGGAAAAGAGCCAAGACCTGCAGAGGTGCTTGCAGGTTGTGGAGGAAATACAAAATATGTAGTAAAGGAATGTAGCTAAATACAGATGTGCTGATTAAATAAGAATGGCCCACATATACCATGTGGTATAACTCCTGGAACTTTACAAGTGATGCTATTAGGAGATATGGCCTTTTGGAACTAGTTGTAGTATTGTTGGAAGGTGTATGTCCCAGTGTGGGCAGGTTTTGAACTATGTTCAAACTTTGTCCAGTGAGTGTGACACAGTCTCCTTCTGCTGCCTGAGGATCAGGATGTAAAAACTCTCAGCTCCAGCACCTTTGAGATGTCAGGCTTCACATCATAATGATAATGGCAAAACCTCTGAAACAGGAAGCCAGCCCCAATTATAGGTTTTCCTAGACCCTCAACCTAGGACTGATCTTAATACATTCATGTAATCAAAATGGTATAAAAGAAAAAGGAAGAGGGGGTATAGGATAGGGGGTTCTAGGGAGGAGAAATGGGGAAAGATGATGACATCTGTAAATAAATAAAATATCTAATAAAAAATTTAAAATAAGGTTTTCCTTTGTAAGAATTACTGTGGTCATGGTGTCTGTTCACAGCAATAGCAATCTAACTAAGCCATCAACGAAGACAATGTAACCAATTTGAGAAACAAGGATTATAGTTGTTTCATATAATTCATATAATTATAATTCATATAACTCATTCATATAGTGAGTGTTTTGGTTGCCTTTTTGCAACACTTTATTAACTCTTAAGATAACTACAGATTTTATAAATTTGATTATAATTATTGTTATTTTCCTTTAGTATTTTGGGTGCACAATATGTATATATCTGTGGGAGTTTCAATAGCTATGGATCACATAGACTCATGTGCTTGAATGTTTGTCCATAGAAAGTGACACTGTAAGGAGGTGTAGCTTACTAAATATAGGTAGGGTCATGTTGAATGAAGTCTGTCACAGTGGGGGAAGGTTTTGAGGTTGCCTATGCTCAAGTGATGTTCAGTGTGGCACATGGCCTTTTGCTGCTTATGGATCAAAATGCTAATTTGAAGACTGAGTCAATATGTCTTCCACTCACTGTGAATCAGAACTTTACATCAAAAGATATCGTGAAAAATCTGAAAAGTTCTGAACAGAAACAAACATTGAAGATCTTACATTTATTTTTGTGCATTGATATATTTTGTCCCTGAATATATATTTTGGAGTAGGAGTTTTGAATGCACTGCTCTTTCATTGTGAAAACATTATTTAAGGTTACAAATTAAGTGCCATATAACAAAATAGTTTATTCTTACTAGAAGAAATGAGCTTAACAATATTTCAAATGAAAATTGAAACTGTACTAGTAATATGCATGTGCATTTTTAAACAAAGATTCACCCATAAGATTTACTAATAATTGTATTGTGATTTTATACACAAGTAGGATAATTGATGTGACCATCAATGCACCTCGTACGAAGTGGAGGAGTTCCTCTTTGTTTCCTATATCCAGGTTTACACATAAATTCAATATTCTCCCCTGATTTGGAATAAATCTTTTCATTTTCTCTCCATCTGAGGACTATGTTATGTCTTTTCATAATATCTTCTGGTATTACACATGCAACTGAAAGAAAAATTATCAAAGTTCATTAAGTAATACATAAACATACAAAAATAACATCCTTTTAAAATAAACAATTTCCATTTTTTCTGAGAATTAAAAATAAATGCAACATCATTATTCATAACTTCAAAATTAATTCAGCTATTAATTCCTCAACAGAAGTGAAAACTTCAATCATAAATGTTAGTTAACTGGTAAAAGAATCAGAAAAGACAAAAATGGAAAAATCTTGTATATTGAAGTATTGTAAGAATTAATATTGATATAGAAATGTCCACATCTTCTATGGTTACTAGCAGTCTATATGATCCCACAAAGAAATACCAATTACATTTTTTATATTCATATGGGTAAAAATCTAAAATGTATATGGAAGTACAATAGAATGAGTAGATAACTGGAACTAGAGCAGAAAAGAAAATCTGGAATGTCATAATATCTGATTTCAACATACACCAGGAGCCCCACAGTAACTTGAATGCAATAAACCCTCCAGTGAATGAGAAAAGTGATTTGAGAAATGATCTATGCATCTACAATTAACTCATCTTAATAGACTTTCCAAAAACTTAGGTTAGAAAACTGATATCATATTCAATAAACGATATAAGAATAATTGATATCCATATGGAAATGATTAAAATTTATATCTGTCTGTCATTCTGGGCAAAGTCAACTGAAAGTTGGTCAAAGACATCAATGTAAGAACAAACCACTGAAAGTACAAAGAAGCACAACTGGGAAACATTTCATTGGTTTTGGACACTGTGTTTGGATAGGACTCCAAATTAGAAAGTAAAAAGCAAACACTGACCCACGGTTTTTATCACAATGAGGTACTTGTGCATAGCACAGAGCTTAATTAATACAACTAAGAAATTGCTAGACACTTGAATCAAAGTAAATGGTTGTCTATTGTTTGTTTCCAGATATTTACATGGCTTTTATAGGGGTTTCCTATGTCAAAAAAAAGAAGTGAAAATACATTTATTTTGCTTTGTTTTGTTTTGTTTTATTTGATTTAAATTGATTGCTATGGGCATGGTTGGTCTTTTGGAAGTTACAACGCCATTTCCAGTAAATTGATTTTGAAAAAGCTTTGCACTATATGTGTCTTAGGCTATACTTAAATAATTGAAAAGGACTTTAATTTGTTGATAATCTTTAAGTTAATTGTCATTAGTCTGTGGAAAAACACATTTTAAAAGAAAAGTAAGCCGATGAAAACTGGATAAATGAATAGATACTTCTAAAAAAAAAAACCACCTAAATATCATTAGCTATAATTTCATTGTCAAGCCATAATAAAATATCTTCTCACTCAGTTAAAATAGCATCAGAGAAAGGAGCCATTATAATTAAAAATGCTCATGAATGTGTGGTGAAATACAAACAAAACATTGATGGAAATATGACTTTGTGAAATTACTATAGATAACAATTGAGATATCTTAAAAATTTAAAAATATATTTTTACATGTTTTTTATATGTTTCTTCTGGTATGTTCCCAAAGGAAATGAAATCAAATTACTCAAACTGCATGCATATATCTATTGTAAACTGCTAAAGAAGTATACCTAAGATGAAAAAATTGTCTGAACTAATATTAATTGGTGAATTTATAAAGACAACATGGTATATTTAAACATAAAATATTGTCCAGACTTTGCAGATATATTGTATTGTTTTAATTAGAAAAGGGCATTGGAGGACATTAATTCAAATAAACTAAACATAGAAAGACAACACTATTGTATTCTTCCTCACAGAGAAAAGAAAGACTATAATTTCTCTAGAATGCATGACAGTGATTAATAGATGTTATGTGGCTTATCTACGGGAAGGAGATATTGTATGAATTTAATACCTGTAAGATGTACACAGGTGTGATGAATTGAAAAAGAATGGCCTTCATAGACTCAAATATAGATTATTCATTGGGGACTGGTGATACTTGAGAAGGATTAGGAGCTATGGCCTTACTGAACTGGTGTAGCCTTGTTAGAAGATGTATGTCTATAGCTTGCTGCTCCTGCTAAAGCCAAATGTTGAATGCTCAGCTACTTCTCCACCATCAAGTTTGCCTCTGGGCCACCATGCTCCCAAACATGAGAGTAGACTAATCTCTGATACTGTAAGCAATACCCACCCAACAAACGTGTTTTTTGTTTGTTTGTCTGTTTGTTTTTTAAAAGATTTGCCATGGCCATAGTGCCTCTTTACAGCAATAGAACACTGACTGAGAAAACAGGTATAAAATATCATTCTGGTTCCCAGTTTTATGGGCAATAATACATGGTAGTAAAAACTTAATTATAAGTATCAGCATGCACAATTTTATTTGACAGGTGGTTTTTATAAAAGGATCTAATAATCTTGTTTTTATCACATGCTGATGTTTGGCACTGAAGCACAATCAAAACAGTACTTGTGAGAGTTCTAGTATTAACAGAATAATATCCATAATATAACACAAAATCTCCTATAATCTATGAAAATAAGGTACTTACGTAAACAGGTTGGTGGCTCAGACCACTTTCCATTTCTACATGTTATTGTCTTCTTTCCTTTAAGTAGATAATAGTTCTGACACTGATATTCAACTGATGATAATGGTGCATATGCTGGTAACGACAAGGAGGTGATGTCTCCATTGTCAATAGGTGGAGGAGGCCCACATTTCCCTGTTGAGTCTAAGGAGACAAGATTTGAATGTTTCAGAATCAAGTCAAATTACAGGCTCAAGCAGAACCAGAAAGAATACAGCATTAAACACGACTTAGTGATTTCTGGCTAAATAAGTGATTACTTTAAGAAAGATTAATCATATAAAATGTTACAAGTTCTTCATGCCTTCTCACGTAAAGCAGTTACTTAACTTCAGCAAACATGTGTGTTCTGAAGCTGTTAAGATATTTACCAATATTTGAAGGCTTTAGAACACACAGATGCCAATGTAGATAGGCAAGTTTTAAAAAACGATTCAATAGTATATGACCTTATATATTTCCACTGTTTTAAAAATATATTTGTAAATACGACTTTAAAGCTTATAATATTACAGAAGGCTAATGAGGTTGTCTGGGTTTCTAATAGGGTCAAAATAAGCATAGCCATCTATATATTATACTTTTGCTAAGTATATCTGAAATGCTTGGACATAGTATTTTTAGTAAACATTATATGCAAAGAAGATACATTGAAAATTCTAGCAAAGAAATTCAGAACTCATCTAACTACCTAATACTATCCTATGTGTCTTCCTTTTTGACTACTGCTTGCCCTTGGAAGACACAGGGAAAGTCTGAAATCAAAAGTACTGATTCTATTCAGTCAGATGTTGGGAGGAGCATCATGAAATTAAACAAATTCAAATGCTTTTTAGGTAAAAACAAAACGCTCGAGATTCAAACAAAATTAATATTTTACTGTGAAGGAAAATGAAAACATAATGGTCATAATGCATGAATGTGCATACTCAAGAGTTAAGTAAACTCAAATAGGACAAGTCCCATAAAAGTGGAGATCCATCTATTGAAACTGCATAAAGAAAATATCTTGGAAAAAATCACTAGAATGTCATCAGCAATCACACTGGACAAAGTTACCAAAGAATGTGACTCCTATCTACCACCATGAAGACCATAGGAAAAAAAGAAAATGAGTGTCAGCTTTAAGTTCTATATTCTGTGGTTGAATCCTTTTGAATAAAGATATTAATGTAGACATTTTCCAATAAAAGAAGATAAAGGGGATTTATATCCAGCAGAGATATTTTCCAAAAGAATAACTACCAGAATTCATTACTTAAATAGAAATAGAAATTAATAGTAGAAGAAATTTAACTGTAAAATTAGGGGTATATAGCAGATGATCTTTGTTCTAATAAAATTATGTTTGTGTTTCAAGTGAAACCTAGCATTTAAGAATAGTGTTAAAAATAATCATAGCAGGCAGAGGGAGGAAGTGACATGAATGGGAGAGGGGAGGAAGGAGGGAAAAGAAGAAAGGTAGGGTCAGATATTGGGAGGGGGGAGACATGACAGAGTCCTACAGGGCTAGAAGAATGTATAAAATTATGCACCAGTGTTGGTTGGGGGACTTGGGAATCTCTTAAAAGTCCCAGACAGTAAGGATATGACATGCTTTCAGGATCCAATGGGTATAAGCTGAGGTAAAATGTCCAACAGTGAAGAGATAAAACCTAAAGGGACCAACAGTAGGTAGACATGGCCCCCAGTTGAGGGATGGTATCACCCATTCATCTTAAAAATATTTGATTAAGAAATGTTCCTGTCTAAAGGGAATGCAGATATAAAAATGGAACAGAGCTTGAACAGAAGCACATCCATTGACTCTCTCAACTTGGAATCCGTCTCATGCACAGGCACCAAACCTTGACACTATTACTGACGCCAAGTTCTGCTTGCAGACAGGCGCCTAGCACAGATGTCCCCTGAGAGGCTCTACCAGCAGCTGACTGAAACATATGAATATACTTACAGCCAACCCCTGGAATGATGTCTGGGATCTCCATGGAAGAGTTAAGGGAAGGATTGAAGGAGCTGAAGGGGATTGTGACCCCCACAGGAAGAACAACAGTATAAACTAACCAGCATACCTCAGAGCTCCCTGAGACTAAGTCACCAACAAAAGTGCGTACATGGACTGGTCCATGGCCTCTGGTATGTATGTTGCAGAGGACTGTCTTGTCTGACCTCAATAGGGAAGGATCAGCCAAACTCTGTAGAAAGCTGATGTGCAAGGAAAGACAGATGCTGGTAGGGGTGAGGTATGGGTAGGTTAGTGGATGGGGGAGCACTCTCTCAGAAGCAAAAAGGAGGAGTGATAGAGTGAAGAACTTGGGGATGAGGGTCTGGGGAGGGAGCCAGCCTTTGGGATGTAAATAAATAAAATAATAAAAAGAAAGAAAAATATGATGAATAATGCTGAAAAGCAAAAAAGGAGACTTATTCAAAGGGTAATACTAGGAAGGGGAATAAATAATGAAACAAGAATTCAGAAAAAATTAAAATTAAAAAGAACGGTATTTAATCTATGAAACAGAAATCTATCAAGGAATCTTTAAGGAAAACATAGGAAATAGGAAACATAATTGGATTTTGGAGGCAAGTTCAGAATCTACTTACTCATTAGAATATAAAAATGTCAGCATTAATCAATAATGATACAGACACAAACACCATGGTTACTTCAGCAACAGATGGTTAGGAAAATATTATATATAGCATACTCAGATTGTGCATTGAAAGCAATAATAAAATACATGACACCATTATATTCTTGAGAACCACTCCTCCAAATCAAGGTGAAAAAAGAGAAGTAAGACCTGGTCAGCTTGGCCACTATTCTGAAGACATCACAGACTGTAGGCCTCCTAGGAGTTCTGCTGCATGGAGGGCAATAGGTAAGAGACCCTCCCAAACAACTCCAGCACCTGGTCACCCTGAAGACTCCAGTAGACTCATGACCCATCACCTCCAAGCCCTCAGCCCACTGAATTCCACGTTCCTTCCAGACTGCATCTTCTGCAGGGGCAGATCACCAGCTTCTCTGCTCCTCTGAAGACCCCACAGTCTGAAGGCCTCCTAGGAAAGCATCTGAAACCAGATCAACAAGTCATTGGCATACATGCACCTATGTAGACCTCACTTTCTGAAGGCTTCACAAGAGGTCTAATACAGTCAGGGAGTACCAGGATGCCTGCTGCAACCCAGGAACACAAGAGGTAGGATAAAGACAAAGACACTTAGGAAAGCTAAGACCAGAGATAATCAGATTGCTAGAGGCAACCACAAGACCAAAAGCAACAGAATCCAATATGAGTTGGAAACATTATAACCAGTTCTTCCACCACAACAAGCCTGGGTGCACCATCACACCTAAAAATTGGGAAGCTGACAAAAAATCCTATCTCATGAAGACAATTCCTTCATGGTAGATAGATTTCTTTAAGGAGGACATAAATAAGTCGTAGAAATAGATACAGGAAAACACAGATAAACAGGCAGAAGACTTTGAAGAGGAAACAAATCCCTTAAAGAAACACAGGAAAAAAAACGATCAAACTGGTAAAGGAATTGAACAACGTAGTCCATGATGCAAAAATGGAAGTAGAAACAATAAAGAAAACACAAATAAAGGTAACCCTTGAATTGGAAAACCTAGGAAAGGGGTCAGAAATTACAGATGAGAGCATCATCAACAGAATACAGGAGATAGAAAAGAGAATCCAAGGTGTAGAAGATATTTTAGAATATACTGATACTACCATCAAAGAAACTTCAAAACATGAAAAAAAAATCCTAACCCAAAACATCCAGGAAATCCAGGACCCAATGAAAAGATCAAATCTAAGAATAATAAAAATAGAGAAGAACAAAGATTCCCAGCACAAAGGACCCGAAAACATTTTCAACAAATTCATAGAATCCAACTTCCCCAACCTATAGAAAGAGATGTCCATAAGTGTACAGAAAGCCTGTGGAACACAAAATATATTGGACCAGAAAAGAAAATATTCTCATCACACAATAATCCAAAAACATTTTTTCACGTTTTTAATTGGATATTTCATATATTTATATTTCAGATGCCACCCTGTTTCCCTATTTCCCCTCCCTAGAAAACACCTATCCCATCTCACCTGCTCCTTTTTGCTTTTAATTACATGAAGTATTAAAGTCAATTCTAGGTTGAGGAATTAGGAATATAGTAGATGCAAGTAGTCAAAGAACAAGCAGAGCAATAGCAAAGTTCTGTGAACACTCCTGTGGTCACTATTTCTAAGGCCTTATCAGGATGATCAAAGTGCACAGAACTAAGAAATAATATTAAAAGCTGTAAGGGACAAAACCCAAGTAACATACAAAGACAGACCTATGAGAATTACACCTGACTCCTCAAAAAAGACAAACAAAAGCCAGAAGAGCCTAGACAGAGTTCATGCAGATCCTAAGAGAAAACAAACACCAGCCCAGGGTACTATACTCAGCAAAATTCCCAATCAACATAGATGGAAAAATAAACAAAATATTCTAGGACAAATCCAAATTCAAACAGTATCTATCTACCAATCCAGCACTATGTAGAGTTCTACCAGAAAAACTCCAACATAAGGATCATACCTATACCAAAGAAAAAGAAAGATATTAATCATCTCACAACAAAGCAAAAAGGAGAGAATCACATGCACATAATGCCACCTACAACAACAAACATAACAGGAACTAACAATTTATCAATATCAGTGTACTCAGTTCCCCAATAAATAGACATAAGCTAACAGACTGGATACACAAACAGCATCCAGCATTTTGGTGCATACAAGAAACACACATCAATAACAGCAAAGACAAACTCTACCACAGAGTAAAAGGCTGAAAAAAATTTTCCAAGCAATGGTGCCAAGAAACAAGTAGTAATCACCATCAACTATCCAATAAAATAAACTTTCAGTCTAAAAGATATCAAGCTGGGAAAGGATACTTCATGTTCATGAAAGAAAAAATCTACCAAAAGAAAGTGTTAATTCTGAACATCTATGCCCCAAATGCAAGAGTACCCACATTCATAAAAGAAACTTTACTAAAGCTAAAAAAAAAAAAAAACACTGAACCTCAACGATAATTGTGGGAAACTTAAACACCCTACTCTTACTATTGAATAGGTC